TGACTGTCTATACTTCAGTTAAAAAATGCAAAAAAACGGAGAAGATAAGAAAAGAACTATGTAGAATAATGATGATGATGATGTTGCTGCTTTAATACATTTGCATAGACATATAAATATGTTCTTCTATTGAAAAAGTATGTTATCTACATTCTTTCATGCCTAGATTAAAATTCAACATTCATGATGTTTTTATCAATTATTGACAACCTCTGTTCATATGTCAATCAACTATTCGATCAATGTTGTACAATTATTTTGGTATTGACATTTCTAACTACGACAATTATCTTTTACACAAAACTCTTCGCATAATTTTATGTTTTTTTTAGTTATAGTAATACGGTTATTTAATAAATTCTGAATCAATCGATTATTGTATTCAAGTATGCAATCTATGGAAGGCAAAGCAGTTGTTATTACGGGTGGTAATGCTGGTATTGGATATGAAACAGCTAAAGATCTTCTTCTACGAGGTTTTAATTTAATGTTTTGTTTCTGATGTTTATAAGAGATTTTTATAGGTCCTCGTGTTATTATCGCTTGTCGTAATATAGATAAAGTTCATCAAGCATTAAGAGAACTTCATTTGGAAACGAAATGTAATGAGCAAAATATTCGATTAATGAAATGTGATTTATCTTCTTTTAATTCTATTCATAAAGTTAAATTATATAATACTAAAGAAGATCGACTTGATGTATTGATTTGTAATGCTGGTCTTATTTATACACCGAATATTTATAGTAAAGATGGATTAAATTATGTTATGTAATCTAATTATCTTGGTCATTTTCTATTAACAAATCTTTTGTGAGATAAATTAAAAAAATGTCAACCAAGTCGAATTATTAATGTTTCATCTATTGCACATAAATGTGAGAAGACAAAAAAAACGAGAATTGAGTTTTAATTTTTTTTCTTTTTGTTGTTGTTTATAGATCCTCGAACGACAGAAGGGTTGACAGCATTGACAGATTTTAAAACAGATGATATGTGGGGTTCTTATTGTCCATCTAAAGCATGTCAAATTTTATCTTCATACAAACTTAAACATGATCTGCGTGGTAATCTTTGAATATTCTTTTTATATTTTTAACTAATTTTTTTTGTTTCGTTTGATAGATCAAGGTGTTCAGGTATTTTCAGTAAATCCCGGATGGGTATGGACTTCGTTTCAAGGTCCATTACGTCCAGCAGTTGGTATATGGTTTTTTTCTTATTATTTATCCATTACAACGTATTCTTAAATTTATTTTTGCTAAAACACCTTATATAGGTGCTCGTACAACTGTCTATTGTGCTGTTGAACCATCGTTAGAAAAATCTAGTGATTTATATTATGAGTACGTATCAAGTTAATTAATAAATATAAATATCAATTGATATATATATTATTTTTAAGAAATTGTGCTCTTGCTAAACCTATTCCATTATGTACAGATAAGAAATCGGCTGAATATCTATGGAAAATAAGTTGTGAAACAGTTGGATTATAGTATCATATCTATCTTTTGTATATATTTTCATATCAAATACAGTATTGAATAACTATCATCTTCAAGTAAAATTTCTTATTGTATATTATCGATCAATGCAATAATTATCTCTCCAACTGATTTGAAAAAATTGAACAAGACATGGGATTCTATTCTATTCATTCATAGAACTAATACTAAAGTAAAATCTATATCGAGTAATTAAATGACAATATAATTTATTCCTTTTTCTTTTGTATTTTGTTTTGTATATAGAATTGTATTTTAAAGATAATAAACAATCTTTTAATAGAAAAAACGTAAATTGAAATAAGAGTTGAGCAGTACATGCAGATTGTGTGCATTGACTGATAATCGAAGAGATTACAGTCAATAGAAAAACAGTTATCACTGGAAAATAAAACATTAGGTTTATATCTGAGAAAACATTTGAAAAAGAGCACATGCTTAATTAGCAGTTAGTGAAATTCAAAGGGGCAGTTAAAGTCTTTTGAAAAATGTGTAGAATTTCAATGATAAGGAGTGTGTTAGATTCGCCTACTCAGACCTAGAAGTTTAGATAAACTCGAAATTTTTATTTTTTTCTATCATTAAAATGATATACACTCAACACTGATAGTTAAAAATGCTGGAAACAACCTTCTGTGGCTATTTTTTCAACTTTTTAAAAATTCTATATTGATCAATTAACAGTTATGTTTTCGATCATTCTCAATTGAACGAAACTATTTATAGTATAAGCAAATCGTTCTTTGTCGTGTAAAACTATTGATAATCATATTACATCACATATCGAATATCATCGTCGCAAACTATACTGATACAACATACTCCTATATGTTGAGTATCTCTTCAGAACGATCGAAAACCTAACTGTTAATTGATAAACATAGAATTATTCAAAGTTGAAAAAATAATCACAAAAGGTTGTTTCCAGCATTTTTGACGATCAGTTTTGAGTGTATATCATTTGAATAATAAAAACATAAAAATTTTGGGTTTATGTCGAGTTGTAGACCTTGAGTAGGTGAATCAAACGCATTCCTTATCATTGAAATTCGATACATTTTTCAAAAGGACTTCAATTGTTTCTTTGAATTTCACTGATTGCTCATCAAATTTATGAGCTAGTTTTGTTAACTAGTGTATAGAAAGACGCAAAATGTCAATCTTTTTCTAATGGTGACAACCGCAGATCGATAGCTCTTTTCGTTGAAGAATTATTCAAAAAACAACCACCCTTCTTTTATTTGGAAATGGACATTAGTTGCATTTATTGTTCAAAACAAAAAATTCATCATTTTCAATATTTTGTACAAAGTTTCACCATCTTGATATGTTTGCATGAGGAAAATATGTTGTAAAACGTTCCGAAACTTGAAACTCATCATACATCTGCAGATAATTGATTTTACCACAATTGACTCGGATTGCGTCTCTTGTGAAATTTTGTGTCACTCTTTTCAAAGAGTCATAACGAGTCCAAAGATGAATATTGCTCGGCAAACATATATTGGTATCAACAAGGAATTGTTCGACGTAATCATCATTAACATCAGTTAAATCTAATTCAGTTAAATAACGATATTCAGTGATCGATAAACATTCATAATTCTCATTTAATTTTTGTTTTTGTGCTATTCGATTAATCACACATAATTTTTCCATGAGTGGAAATGATTGAGCAATTCAAATAAAGAATTCATGTTCAAATGGACGTTCATCAAATAATGAAACTTCACAAACACATTTGAATAATCCACCTTGAAAGCTATTCGTTATATTATGATAATATCTCAACGTATATGGACATGAATAGAAATGACACTGAGCACTTTCATCTTTTGAAAAATAATCAACATAACAAATAACTTGATTGTTTCCAAGATCTACCAATGTATGTTCGATGTCTTTATTCAATAGTAAATGAGTTTGGTGATGAGTATAAATCAGTGATCGTATATTGAAGATGAAATTGTGAAGTTGTAGTAAATGACTAACAATATCCTTTTTCAAACAATTTCCATCGAGAAATGTTTCTTGATGAACACAAATATACAAAGCAAGTTTTTCCAAATTTGGCATTCGTTGAAGAACTGGTACGATTAATTCGTTATAAGAATATATTTCCAATTTCGAGGTGAAGGAAAAGCATCTGATATTAGGCAATAATTCCTAAAACGAACAGTATACAATTATAATTTAGCAGGAATTTTAATAGGTTTTTTTTCAAAAACGAGATGCTTTTTTAAATAAAACGTAGTTAACTCTTGTAAGACAAATTACCTTTTGATTGATTACTGTTGACGACAGAGAAACACAAACAACATTAACATATAATGTACAAAGTTGAGGTAAACGACCATCGAATAAATAAAGAATCTCGTCGAAACTCCATAGTTTAATTTTCAATTCTATCAAAGTTGAAGAGAAAAATGTTGGTACTTTGTCATAAACCGATAATGATTGTAAATTCGATTCAATAATTGGGTAATAATTTAAATAACGTATATTACTCAAACACATTTAAGATATTTGTAAAAATCAATGTTGCCGAATTTTTTTTGATTCTTTCTCATCATCAGTCCTTGTAATATGAAGTGATTGAACTTTTTTGTTGAAAATATCGAATATAGGAGATTGATCTAAGGATAGATTGAAAATATACCATCGGTTATGGGTTTCATTGAATTCTAACATTTTTATAATTCTTTTCCAACGAATTTGTATTAAGTGACAATATACTTTTCTAAATTATGCAGATGTTATTTAACATAAGTGAAGCACATTTACTTCAATAAAAACAGTATCGAAAAAAATTAAACTACAAATGATTGAAATTATATATTGTGCATTGTTTATTTTATGAATATTCATGTGCATTTTCGATATTTTCTTTGCTTTTTCTCTCCGCTATTATTTATAGATCTCTCTCTTGATCGCTTAGTTTTCATTCGTATTAAGAATGCAATAGTAGATAATTATGATCTTATTATTCATATGAATCAAATCAATAATAGTTCTATTTACTTGGTGTACTTGCAAGGTTGAAAACAATCAAAATAAAATATCTTACCTGAAAAAACACGTTCAGCAGTCTTGTCATCAATATTGTAAAGTCCGAGACTATGTAAATTAGGATAATCAGCAACACGAAGAATACGTTCCATAGATAATGATTCAAGATAAAGTGTATTAATTTTAGAATGTATGTGAGGTAATATTTGTGAGCAAAATCGATCGAGTATTTTATCAATCAATGGATAGATAAGATCACTTGAAAAATATCTTACCAATGTTAAGTTTTTAGTAAAGACTGAATCGGATATAATTCTATCTAATTGTGTGTTGATACCCATAAGAGAATAGAGTAATTCAACATTGTTCAGTTTCTTAAAAATCATCAGAAGTACTTCATTAGGTAAATCGATCAATTGAACATTTGTATGTTCCATATTCGTATTCATCGATCAATGTTTCTTTAGTAGGCGGATATAAACAACTGCACACATACATATATATATATATATATATATATAATCGCTGCTTTTTTAGTTCTTTTTTTTGACCGATACGTCAGCGGCAGAAAAGCATGTTGTGGTCATTCAGTCAATAATTCTCATGAAAAAGACATCTTTATCGACTATTGATAGTAGTGTAAGTGATCGACAGGGTGGAGTGTGGATATGGGTGTGGGTGCGGGTGTCGATGGGAGCGGGTGCGGCTTGTTGAAAAGGACACCCACACGCCACACGCCACATGCCACACCCACACCCACACATCCACACACCCACACCCACGCCAAAACGAACACATTATGAATGATTCTATATTGATGCATCCAACTCATATTTTCAAAATTAGTCAGTTGAAATGCTGAAAATCGTGACTCATACGTAAAATACATATTTGAAATTCTTTAGATACCAAAACGTCCCCTTTCTTGCAAAAACGACTGTTGCACGTTTGAAAATTTTCTCTAGTTGCATCATTGCAAAAATCATTCATAATTTTCGTTTTGATTTGTTCTTATTATTCTCTTAAATGATACTTGAAAATTATCTATGAAACGCTATATATATAGTTTTTGTTACTTGATAACAAGTGAAATTGCTTTCAGGATACCAACGATTATATGCAACATTAGTATTTGCTTATTTTACCCGTGTAAAAATACTCTTTGAATAAACTTCTATCAGTAACTAAAGATGCGGAGATGTTTCATTTTCAATCGTAGTGCTATTGAATGGTCACATCTGTATATGTATATATATACATGAATGCACATACCATAATTACCATATGAAAAAATAAATTAAGGCTTACGATTTAATTTTTGAACTCTAAGAAGAATCACTATTTATCTAAAACATATCAACATATAATGTAATGTATAATGCTATATTAGAAAAGGGACGATGCAGGAGGGATGTTCAAGTAAAAATCGATATTTTTAAAAATTTTCTCTAATTCATTTCCTGAACCACTGCTTATTTATGAAAGTCCTCTATAATTTAACTGACACATGTTCTGGGAATGCACCTATTATCAGTAGTATTCTACACGTTCATCAACTCATCTCCTTGCACTGCATCAGCTAGCCGAGGATCTCTGAACTCTCACTGACAGACCCAGAACCACTTGTCTATTGTTGACGAAAGTTTTATGAGTAAAATTGGGAGAACGATCTCAGGTTGTCAGAATTATGTTTGTTGAAATCCAACAATTTCTAATAGACAGAATGTAGCTGCAAATTCAATAAGATTGATAATTCACAAGTTTCACACAATCAACGAGAATAAAATAATATCACTGCTTTACTATTTATTCGTGAGAAACGGGTTTTATTATTGTTGTAAGATAAATGACTTCAGATTGATATAACATGACTAAATGCAGCTAAACTGATTGTTTTTGCTTCTGAATAACGTCAAACTACATCTTATGTATGCTTGTTGATAATGCAACTTATCATTGTTGTTATTTGATATATAAAAGGTGGGCCAAAAGTCCTGACCTGATTCGCGTAATAAAATTTTTTTATGTGAAACATATGTTTGTGAATTTGTCTTTAATAAGAAAAGATGCAACAAAACAAGCTCTACAAAATGACTTTTGATTGACCTCACTGTCTCATATAGTAAGAAAGTTATATGCTTAGAAATATGCTTCGCAAAAAATAAAAAATTAACTATGAATTTTTCAGAGCAGTGTATAATCACTTTAAAGTTATAACAAGTAATTTTAAATGTGTGATAATCTCCACTTTCCGTTAGATCATACTATCATTATATATTCGTCAACACTTCCAGATCTTAGTACATCTTCTCTCTTGGTATTCGATATATTTTTCGATCTGTATGTATTTACTGTGTATTCATTATCTAGTTCTAGATATTGTGTATTCACTCTATGTATTCTCTACCTTTGTGTATTCTACTATTTTTTTTCAGGTCTTTGTAATCACTATCTCTTTGTTTTCATGATATTGATCTTTTGTATCATTCATATATTCGTTCGTCGCTTCGATCTGTAAATAGATCAACATCAGTCGAGATAAAGTATTCGATAATCTACACTCTTTCTTACGTCGTATAACAAGATGTCAAACATGTTTACTCTGAAAGAGCAGTTTCGTAGGCTCGTGCTTTATTTGAAGGACATGAATCCCACATAGTGGCAAGCAACATTGCTGAATAATTAATTTTTAACTAAGGAAATGTCCTTATGATTTCTAAAAATTCCGATTAACTTCTATTTTTTGTGAAGCATATTTCTAAGCTTATAAGTTTTTTACTATATGAGACAGTGAGGTCAATCAAAAGCCATTTTGTAGAGCGTGTTTTGTTGCATCTTTTCTTACTAGAGACAAATTTACAAATACATATTTCACAAAAAAACAATTTTATTATGCGAATTCGGTTAGAACTTCTGGCCCACCTTTTATATATTTAGTTTATCAATAACAAACTGTTTTAGGAAAAATTTCATCTATATTGAATAATTGAAGTAACTTATTCATATTATCATCTATATAAAATAAAACAATATTTTACACATTATAATAAAATCTCTCATATAGAAAATCTATGCAGCAATAATTTTAATTCAATATGTAGTATTTCACCAAGTAATCAGTCAACATTATCAACTATTATACTTTATTATTTTTATCATCACTGTTTCATTCAAAAATTTACTGGAACAGCTTAGCAGTAAAATGCGAAAATCATCATCATTCTACATTAAATAAAATAGAACGAAATCTTGAACAAAAACAAGTTTATGGTCATAGTTTTAATAGCTGCATTATTAAAAGTTAGTAAAGAGAAAATTCTCGCATCAACATCTATACGGTTGGTCCATGGAATAGTCCACTTTTGAGAATAACATTGAACTGTATAATTAAGCAAAACGAACAGAAGCGTCTTGTAGAGCAATGCCGATAGCATAAAACAGGAGAGTTTTATTTCCATAGCTTCCTATACCTTAGAGAAAAAAACTGCTACATAGGTAAAGCTCAAAATCGGTGTGCAGCAATATTCATCATAAGTTTTCATTTTCTAAGTTCTCATATAAAAGAATATGAGCATGTAGGTGTGGGTTTTGCTACGTAGATATTCTCTTTGCACCCATACTCTCGCATCAAATAGAATGCGCATTACTGTTAGATTACTGCTATCAGAAAAGGTCGAGCATCAAGTAAATAATTAAACAAAATGATTGTATTAATCTTTCTAATTTACTTAAATCATCAATTATAACTTATAGAGCTGGTTGCAAAGAATATAACGTACATTAATTTTTAAATGATCACTTCTTTCTTTTTTTAGGTGTAGCCGTTGAAATCGACACCCGGTGACATCTGTAATGACAATCTGAAACTAACGTTTTTGCAGCCAATATAAAAAACAGCAGGAGAGAAAAAGTAAATAAACAGACAAACTTTGTTACTATTGGAGTTCATCAACGTAGTATCTTAAATTTTGTCTTTTTTTCTATTGCTCGAAAATCACAAACAAACGATTGATTTCTATTTATTTTTTAAGATTTACATAAAATAGCGAGAAAAGATGATGCGAAAAAAGGTAAAATTCTTCTACAAGTTTTTCTAGGTTCTTTATTGTTTTTTGATTAGGTACTTTTAATGGGTAAAAGTGGAGGAGGGAAAACATCAATGCGGTCAATTATTTTTGCTAACTATAGTGCAAAAGATACTCGACGTCTTGGTGCTACAAGTACAACAAAAAAAAGATTTTACTTAATTTCTATCTATTAAAAAAAATTTCATTATCTTTTCTAGTGGATGTTGAACAATCCTATGTTCGTTTTCTGGGCAATCTGATATTAAATTTATGGGATTGTGGCGGTCAAGAAGCATTTATGGAATGTTATTTTGCTGCACAAAAAGATAATATATTTAAAAATGTCGAAGTGCTTATTTATGTATTTGATGTTCAAAGTCAAGAATTGGACAAAGTGTGACATATAAAATAAGCATCATTCATTTTTTAAAATATTTGTTTAGGACTTACATTATTATCAATCATGTCTTGAATCAATTTTACAACATTCAAGTCAAGCGAAAATTTTTTGCCTTATACATAAAATGGATTTAGTACCAGAAGATATGCGAGAAAGTGTATGTTAATATTTTTTTGTTGTTTAATTCAGTATTTTTCTTTTATCTTTTGATTAGCTTTTTAATGAACGACAAACTATTTTAAACAATGTATCGAAACCATTACATTGTTCATGTTTTCGCACATCGATTTGGGATGAAACACTTTATAAAGTAAAATAATTTTACAGAAAAAAAAATTGAATTATCAAATAAAACATTATTTTATATAGGCTTGGTCACAAATTGTTTATCAATTAGTACCTAATGTAAAAGGATTAGAAAAAACATTAACTAATTTTGCAGACATTATTGACGCTGATGAAATTCTTCTTTTTGAAAAAGCAACGTTTTTAGTAAAATTTTATTATTATGTTGTTTAAATAGAAAAAAATAGTTTACTAATTATATAGGTCATTTCACACTGTACACGTAAACCTCATAGAGATGCACGACGATTTGAAAAGATAAGTGATATTATTAAACAATTTAAATTATCATGCAGGTAGACAATATTTTAAGTTAAAACTTTATGAATCGTTTTTTTTTCTATGTTAGTAAATTAACTGCAGCATTTCAATCAATGGAGGTTCGAAATTCAACATTTGCTTGTTTTATTGAGCTATTAACACCAAATACTTATGTTATGGTTGTTATTAGTGATCCATCTATTTGTAAGTGTGATTCTATATTATATAGATAATTATTTAATATTATAAAAATTGATTGTTTGTTTGATATAACATTGTCTTCTTGTCCTAACTTCACCATATTGAGTTCAAGATAATTTATCTATCAACAGTTAGTTTAAATTAAGAATATTATTTTATATGAATAAATATAAGT